AGGGGGGGGGGGGGGAGCCATGGAAAGGTCTTGTTCTGAAAAATTGTAGCAGAATAACATTCATTTGACATAAAATAATAAAAGAATGGAAACATACAGAAAAATGTAGCAGTGTTCTTTTAAATATAGTTGACCAATATGTGAGCATTTTTGACATCTTTTTTCAGTTAAGGTACTCCAAGGTAATGTTTCTCCAGTGCTAAGTAAATACTAATTGAAAGGAGGTTAAAACAATAATGCTAAGCATTATTTTAACAGCTGTTTGGATGCATATATTATCTACAATAAAATCATCTTGGATATTTTCCTGTTGAGGTTGGTGGGCAAGATATGGAAGACAGTTCAGTGAATGATTAGACAGATGAATTATGGACTTCAACAGCATTCTGAAGAATGCTTCAAAACAATTCCTAAATTAGAAATTATACATTTGTCAAGCCTACACTTCAATTAGCTTTTACAAAGAATGTTTATACTGTTGTAACAGTGTTGGATCATTTCTGAAATGTTAACAGAAACAATAAAATTGACATAAATCCAAACTTGCACGTTTAGATTCTAAGTACACTTATTGGGAAGGAAGCTCCATTGAGCCAGTTAACGCTCATTATAAATGTGAGCAAGGAGAGATTGTTCATAAAATTATCATGGATTACAACACTGACATAATTTTAATTTGACATTTAGAACCTATACATGAAGGTATATAGAGTTTTTTTTTTTTAAGTTAAAGATCAGGGTCCAGTGCTTTTTAAATCAGTGCTTTGAGTTAAGATACAGTGAGTAGGTAAGAGATAGCTTTTGTCTGGTGGCCTCGGCCTTCTGTCTACTTCATCTTTGAACCAAAAGAATAGATTGTGGTTTGTATCTAGGATACTTTTTCTTTATTTACATTTTAGCATATTGCCTATCCAGTGCACTTTTTATGCATCACAGTGTGCAACTTTGTTATATCACTGTACCCTGTCCTCAGTATTGCCATTTGTCATTTGTAACCTCTATCCACCTATCCTATCACTCTGAGCTGTACTGGTGAATTGCCAAGGAATGTAAATACAGCCATGGAGTCTATCAAGAGCAGGCAGGCATTTGGGGATGACGGGGTACCTCAAAATATGCAGTCACTCTGAGGCCTATCATCTAGGACCAAGACAAATCCACAAGTAAGCAGTGAGGTAGACATAACCACCTCTTAATAATAAACATTTCTGAAGACAGATTCTTTCCATCCCATCATTCAACAAGGAATAATAACTGCAGCACAGGAACTGATGTCAATTATGTCTTGGATTCTCCTCCCCATTGACAGAAGAGGAGATTGGAAGAACTCCTCAGATACAAATTCCACAGACAAATCCACCCTGGTATAAGGAGCATTTGAAGTATTGGATCCAAAGGATGAGCACTGTAGCATAAGCAACCAGATCTATTGTAACATTTGTCAATGTTTGGCTTGAGGGATCAAGCAAAATCTATTATAATGCAGATAGTAAGATTGCATAAGAAATTGGTGAACAAATAAAGAATTCTATGATTTCTTGATTCACTAGAAATCAATGAGCCATCTCCACATCAACTCAAACTAAAGAAGATTTAACTGAAATTCTTTTAAAAATATAAATTCCAACAATGGATTAAGGAGTGGAGCATGGAGCACAAGTACAGCTTAGAACTCAGGACAACAGTAGATATTTTGTGGTTAATTATTATTTTTAATTTAACTTCTTCAGACCTATTTCCTTTCAAAGTGCAATGAAGATATATTTTTTATAAAATTAGCATTTGGAATAAAAACTAATAAAAGGAAAGGATAAATGCTAAATAATGGTAGAGTGTATTTGTCAGAAGCAATGTTTACACATGGAAGATATATGTGGAGATGACTAGAGCTAGAACATCTCACAAGCGTTTTGCCAAGCTACACATTTTTTTTTAAAGGAGAAAATATGTATATACTTCAAATCCAGTCTTCTAACACATTCTTTTGGAAAACTAAGGAATGACTGAGAAAAAACTAAAGATTGAGATGCATTGAGAAGTTTCTTTATGAAATAGTTAATGGATATTTATTTATTTTTCAAATGTATATATGCCGCCCATCTCAATATACAAGTGACTCTAGGCAGTGTTACAGATAAAAAACGATAAAATCATAAAAAATATATGTTAAAATACTATAAAAGGTTAAAAATTAAGCTAAAAAGTTAAAACTACAAGGCAAACTAAAAAGGCGGAGAGCACATCCTGAGGCTACCAGCCACCCCCAGTGCTGTGAATCCCCATTGGGTCTCCATGCAAGTTGGCAGAGCCAGGTCTTGACACCCTTTCGGAAGGCCAACAGAGTGGAGGCCAATCTCACCTCGGGGCAAGATATTCCAGAGGGTGGAAGCCACAGCAAAAAAGGCTCTCCTCCTGGATCCTGCTAATCAAAACTCTGTAGGTGACAGAGTCCGCAACATACCCTTCCTGCCAGACCGGGTGGGACGGGTCAATGTAATGGGGATGAGACGATTCCTCAGGTAACCTGGGCCCATATTATAGTGCTCTGAAAATTGGTCTCACTCTTTTTATACAATTCGATAGTATCAAAAGTGCAGTCAGCTACATTAAGCTTTTTCACTTACTACTAATCAAAATTCTTACCCAAGATTCTCCCGTGCTTTATTTTATTCCTTACTGCCCATCAATGTTCTGTTTTTTTCCTTCCTCACCAATGGAACACATAAAATGTAAGATCTGTTGTGATATTATTGTCACAGGCTCCACTTCTGAAGTAATAATATCTATTCAACTCCAGATTACTGTATTTATTAAGCTTTGTAACTCATAGTACCATGTAAAAGCTCTTTCTTTTTGTAGTAGTTGATTTATTTCTGATTCTGAAGAGTTATGAGGCAAATCTCCCTAATTACCAAACATAAATCATTGGTGTCAAGCTAATGTTAATTTTACTATCATACTTAAACCAGCATGTACTGTAAATGTGCATAGATAAAATTATATTTCAGGGGTTGAAAAATATCTGATTTGGATAGGATTGTTTTCATCCTAGACTTTTAAAGCTTAAGACTCAAATCCAGAATTATGTTTAGTGAAACTTACCTCTGAGTAAACTTGCTTGCTTAACTTTCTTTTGGGTGCCTTACTATTTTTGCTCAATTAAAAAAATAAATATATGGGAAAATCACATACTGCAAAGCAAAAGTTAGCCTCTAGCATCTATTTACAAAACTGCTTTTGAGGTCTTCACAGGTCACATAGGAATTCTTATAAAACACAAATGAAGAGTTAATGCAGGCAAGTTTTTTGAAGTGTGTCTACCTGCCAATAAAAAAGAAAAACTGAGAGAGTAGAAAGTATGCTGCAGAAGGGGTGGGCAGGTGGGGTTGAATGGAGAACAGCCTTACCAATTTGCCTTCTGGAAGATGGGAGTTTGGGGACAGATCACACCACCATAACAATTTTGTAAAAAGGCAAGCCCACTTCTTCAAGCCATTTTATGAGGTATGCCTATTGACTCAGGAAGGTTGTCCACCCATGCCATAGCCATTATTGCCTACATTGTGCATATACTAGTTAGATGTACAATACTTGAACAGTTCAGAGCAATTGGCTAGATGGGGAAGTTAAAAAAAAATGTCAGAAATGGAGGACATAAGGATGGGGCTACTGCATACCTTGCATTGGGCTGGGAAGTTTCAAATCTGTAGTCCAACACATCTGGTGTATAACAAATTGGGAAATGTATGCTAGTAGTCAAGCAACAATATCTGATTAAGCTTATGAATAACAGAGGGAAACATTCCATCTCTTATGTACAGAAGGGATGTCTCTTTTAAATTGGTGTCTATGTCAGCTTGAGACAAAGGAAGCTTCTTTTTGACTTCAGAATTATATTTTTGTCCTCATATATACTTTCTATGGCCCCCCCATAGAAAGGGGGACGCGGTGGCACAGCGGCTTAATGACGCTGAAAGTTGCCAGCCAGAAATGGTTGACACTTCAGTGGTTCGGGCCCAGCTTCCGCAGCAGAGTGAGCTCCTGCTTCCTCCCCAGCTCCTGTCAACCCAGCAGCTCGAAAACTTACGTGAGTAGATAAATGGGGACTCTCACTCCAGTGGGAGGAAAAATGCTGGCGGTGCCTTGCAAAAAGGAGACAGGAGCAGTTGCCAGTAGCACGGAAACCGCGCACGCCCGAAAAAGGTGTGAAGCAATGGAAACTCCGCCTCCTGAGCTCACCAGCTGGGCTCTGCTCTAGGAAGGAGGCACTGGCAAACCACTTCCGAAACACTTTGCCTTGAAAACTGCAGGGGCTCGTCCAGGCAGTCACTGCAGAATTGGTAATGATTGAGTGTGGATAAAAATAAAAAAATAAAAAAAAATACTTTCTATGATTTTCTGAAATACACAGAATTAAACAACTGAGATATTTTTAAATAGACATGTCTCCTGAAATACATGTACAAATCCTAACAGAGGACCAAAAGTTGACAAACTATTTCTGAATGCTTAAAATGAATCAGAAGATGCTTAACATATTGATTGGTTAATCTAGCACTTACTGGAACTGTTAGTGCAGTAGCATCCCGAGTGTTAAATGTTGGGTCATTCTGTCTCTCTTGATAGACAACATGATACTGAGAAATAGCACCATTAGGAGAAGCAGGCCTGGTCCAATTTAGGAACACAGAATGAGCACTGATCGCTTGCACTGAGGGAGCTTTCATGTCTGATGGTAGAGCTTCTAGAGTCTGTACTGAAGACCATGAACTACCCACAGAACCTTTGGAATTCTGAGCCTTGACGCGGTATTCATACTCTGTGAATGGCTGAAGAGCATCTGTAGCATCAATAAATTCTAAAGCGCCTTCAGACCAGATGAACGCAAGCATTTCTTCTTGAGTCTCCATGGGACGTCTGAAAGGCAGACAAAAAAGATTTGATGGTAATTGGCAAATTCAAATAGGATAATTGGATATTGAGCTGCACACTTCAAAACTACCGCAACCTAGTACAGTTTCCCCAATAAACTTCAGTGTTGATCTTCAGGACTGCACAAAATAAGTGCTCTTTACTTTATCTCCAGATCATTGGCCTATTTCTGAAAAGTCTCATTCTCAGAAGGAAGGAAGGAAGGAAGGAAGGAAGGAAGGATCATTTTAGGGTCCTTTTTTGTTAGAGTAACATGGAAATTTTTTGAAATGTTATCAGAACAGCTATGTATTGATTATCTCAGTGTTTTATTCATTAGTGTTATCTAGGTGAGAGTTCAATATATGGGATACAAGTCTACAATGTGCATACTGAGATGCCTGGATTAATATTCTCTCGGGGGGGTGGGTTCTAAATTAAGAAGAAAAAATGCTGAATTATTGTGATCACAAAGGACTGGATGGGGTGTTAAATACATGTTTGAGACAAGAACCTCAAAGTCTATCTGATCTAGTATAAAAGTAAGTAATGATTGGGTTCTAGGGTCTTGGGCTTTTGAAGGTATTTTTATTAAATTCAGATCATTTATATGATGAGGACTAGAATAACGATTTAGAAAATGTAAGTGGAAAAACTTCAAAGTAAAAATAATCCACAGCAATATTTTTTCTGCTTGTCAGAGGGAGCTGATTCCAAACATACTTCTATCTAGCATATATTTTAATGCAAGAAGACTTTTCATTTGATTATAAAAATCAGTCACTGAAGAAAAGTGAAAAATTCCATTTTAAGTACTACAAACCTCTTTTTAATGCTAAGTAGTTCTGTTTCCACTGCACAGCATCTCCCTTAGCCAAAATAGCTGTTTGCTGAATTTATAAATTAATGTTTAGCAATATGGAGAATCTGTGAGAAACAGCTTCTCTGCACGGAAATATCAAAAATGTCACCAACTGTGAGCTTTTCCACAAGCAAAAGCTGAACAATGTAGCCTGGTTAAAGTATTTAGATCATATTACTGTTGAATATTTAATGAAAGAAACTTATGCTTAGGTAAATAGTTCCATCTGTAGTGCTAAAAAAAGAGCATATCTTGTATGAATAAACTGTGAACAGAAGGGCCTGAGCAATCTCTAATCATTTCAATAGGCTGAGTATTTAGAATTCAACTGCTCATTTAAGTGGAAGTTTTTCTTCTAACACAGTAAGCAATAAAAGGAGAAAGATCCCATTTTAAAGAAATGTCAGCTGCCTCTGAATTTGTCTATTATGCTCTGCTTGCCTTGCTGCTTATTTCTAAGATAGTCAGATTCCCAGTTTTTATCATGGCAAAGCTGTGCAGCCACTAACACAGCCAGTGTATTAGAAGTGTTTATTCTGAAAATAAAAGGGCTGGGTTTTAATTTAAACTAGAAGATGTCATTCTGTGAGCCAGTGTGTGAAGTTTAAGGCTGTGGTTTCTGCTTGGCTATGGCTGTAGTTTTTTTTTTTCATGTGACAGTTGCATGTACTTTATAGAAGTCTCTCCCTTGGCCTTTGCAGTCAGTCAAAGGTCTGAAAAGAACCTTGGTAGGCGTAACTGGTAAACTCAATGCACGGTGTGAGAACTCCTGGCTTTTTCAGAGCTTACATGCCCATGGAAAGAGCCTAGCCATCAACAACCTGTATGTTCACTCACTTTACACATAACTACAGTTAAATTGGTAGAACGTGTTAAGAATGGCTGACACTAACATACAGAGAAATCCCAAAGTACATGAAGAAAATGGTTCTAATGATGAGAGACCTCTCTTAATTCTTCACGTTATTCCTTACAGTCTGTGAAAGCTCAAGAACTCCATTCCCATCTTTTAACCATTCAGTGCCTGACCATTCCTCCCTACTCTATACAGCACATCAAGTAAATGTTGCTGAAAGGAAAAAACTCCTTCTAACCACTGTGGTATGCTTTTAAACATTACTGTTATATTAACTTTATTCTATATTTATTCTGTAAGCAATCTGTGTGTGTATATCAGCTTGAATCACACAGGGAAATGTGTGATACTGACATACTGTAAAAACACATAGATGTACACAGGTTTATGGCACAGAAATAAATGAATCATAAATATTGCTATCACTACAATAATAAATATTGCTATCTGCATTATAGTTTTGTTCCAATTAAGACTTTAGACTTTTTGAAAAAGATTTGTGAAGGGGAAGGAGAGAGAGATATCATGAAGGTTAGCACAGAAGAAGCTGAAACCCTTGCAAATGTAGATCCTTCAGTTTTAATGAAAAGCTGCCTACTCACTTGCTGGTTAAATAAATTTAGTTTAATGTATAAATGACAATAAGACAGGGCAGCAAAAGATGAAAAAGAAATTACATAGCATAACATCCTCTAAAAATATTGAAGGCTTCTTGTTATAGCAGTCTAAGGCTATGTATGAGCTCTGCATGAAAAAAAAAATGGTGTGCTTACATCCCATTTCTGTCCTTACATATTTCTGATTTTTTTCATAGCTATCTGAGAAAGATGTGATATTGTTGTTGTCTAAGCACATTTAAACTTCAGCTGAAATAACTGCCAAGTGATTCATGCCTATGTAGGTGAATATAACGATTGTATCTGGAGCCCCAGTGCGCCATTTTCATTTCACTTTAAATAAAAAACAAAATGTATCTATGTCAGTCAGTGCCCTTCTGCTGTACTCCGAGGTATCAAACAGGCTACAATTATGATTGTGAAGTGATTGTGTCACATTGGAGGAAGGTTTATTGCTTTCGAGTCTGCTAGGCAGTAACACATTCTGTTTCATATTACTCTTTATATCATTGTTTGCCTGTGACTAGAATAATCAAATGCCATCAAATGCTGTCAAATTCAATTTACAGTATTTTCCACTTTCTGCATTATATTTCCCTTTCCCTGGCTGTTTTCTCTTTCCCTGGCTGCTGTGGAATTGCTGCTATAATCATCAGAGTTGTTTACAAAATCAGCAGAATGAAAACGTGTCTTGGACTATGAAAGATACTTTATTTCCTTTTATTCAGAATTAGGGCTTAATCTATTTGGTCATACAATTAGCACAGAAAAGGGGAAATGTTCCAAATCAAGAGGCACTTTAGAAACTACTAGAAGCCTTCACTCAAAATACTAGCAAGTTGGTTCAAGAAAAGACATACATTTAGACTCACCACTAACATCTACAGCCCTTTAGTGTCAATTGCTCCCTGACAAAGTAGTACAGGGCCAGCCAAAATCAAGTTTGACCGAGTTCCTTTGTCACTATGAAGATCTTGCAACTCCAAACATCATCTTGAATCCTGTCTTCCTTGCTAACCCATACCATTTTTGTCATTTGTTAAGGCAGTTATCGCCTAGCCTAATGAGTAATTTTGCTTCAGATCTATTTTTCTGTCACTCCTTCCTTCAACTCCATGGATCCAACAACCACTATTTCCATCAACAATGATGATTTTCAGACTAATGCCTAGTTCGTCCTATTTATTTTCTCCCAACTGCCCTTCACCCCTTCTCTCTCTTTCCCCACAGCTTGCCGTCTATCTGTATTTATCACTCGTTAAGGCAGTTATCGCCTAGCCTAATGAGTAATTTTGCTTCAGATCTATTTTTCTTTCACTCCTTCCTTCAACTCCATGGATCCAACAACCACTATTTCCATCAACAATGATGATTTTCAGACTAATGCCTAGTTCGTCCTATTTATTTTCTCCCAACTGCCCTTCACCCCTTCTCTCTCTTTCCCCACAGCTTGCCGTCTATCTGTATTTATCACTCTGTTTCTTCAGAGTCCCTGCTCCTTCTCCAAACAATTTTCCCCAGCATACCAGCTTTTCTTCCTTGAACAATTGAACATTCTGATCAACCACACTTTCTTAACCAATGAAGACAGAAGCTTTACTGCCACAACCCCTATATATCATAGAGGTCTGGGACCCAAAGCAAGCCATGTGCAAGCTTAAAATATTGTAGAAATATGTACAGAATACTACTGAGTTGTTCTTCTAGTTGTAGTCTCTTGCCCTTGGTGGATAACACACCAAAGTACATCTGACCATAATGAATGCTGACAAAAGAATCAAGTTGCAAAGGAAATCCAGAAGAGTTTTAATGCAGATGCAGAAGTTGCATCCAGCAGGATGCACATTTGAAAAGGGTACTTTGACCCATCTATATTCATGAAGGCTCAGTGAGACTTGGTTTAAAATGTTCTTTTTGCTCTGCTAAAAGCACTTCATGGTCAAGGCTCAAAACAGCAATGATGTTAAAATACTCTTTCTAGAACAGCCATGATGATATCATCTTCCTTCCATAATCACTGTGCCTTTTTGGGAGCCCTGAAGTATTTATTTGGGTGTTTTACATACTGCTTAGGCATACCCCGGGGGATGCGGTGGCGCAGCGGTTTAATGATGCTGAAAGTTACCAGCCAGAAATGGCTGACGCTTCGGCGGTTTGAGTCCAGCCTTCATGCTAAAGAGGGTGAGCTCCTGTTTCCTCCCCAGTTC